TATGATATATTTTTCAAATCAGATACATGTAACAAGACGCCAAGAATATGAACCTGCAAATTTAGAGTGTATTTGGTTAGAAATCGAAAACCGTACCTGTAAATACTATCTCTGCTGTATTTATCGACCTCCAAACGCTAATTCCAGTTTCTGGACTAAACTTTCATGGAGTTTAGATAAAGTAGGAGAATCCTCAGAGTAAAATCATACTTGTTGGTGATATAAATGTAGATTTGTTAAATACTCCTCAAACACACATAATACGAGAAATAGTTTCAAATTCCAATCTTGTCAATAACATCCACGTACCAACGAGAATTTCTAACAATACACGCACGCTTCTTGACCCAGTTTTCACTTCAGCTGATATTCAGGTACATGATTCGGGTGTCCTTGAAATTGACCCAGCTTTTAGTGATCACAAAGCAACTTATATTGCACTAGCCTCGAATATAAATTACAATCGCGCTTACGAAAGAAAAGTATGGGATTATAAGAGTGGTGACTTTGACAAATTAAATTCCTTAATACAAAATTGTGATTGGGATAAATATATCAATGATGCCGACAATATAGACGCGGCTACTGACAATTTTTCAAACAAATTTCTCTCTTGTGTTAGACAATCTTTCTGTGAAAAAACAATTACTATTCGTCCACGAGATAAACCTTGGATGGACTCCATTCTGCGTAAAACTCTAAGACTTAGAAATAGATTACGAAATAAAGCATTAAGAACGAAGAAAGATTCGGATTGGGCTGAATTCAAAAAAGTTCGGAATACGTTCAATAACATGAAAAAATACGCTATAGCTAATTACTATGACAATATAGAAATGCACCTAGTAGACGCAAACAAAAACAACAATAAATTACATTGGAAACTAATGAAGGACGCATTTAATGTTAAATCATCCAATGATATCCCTCCATTACAAATTACTACGATAATGGGAAAAATAGTTAGCCTTTCCTGATCAAGATAAAATTGAACACTCAACAGTTATTTTTCATCCATCTCGTGTATTGATAATAAAAACCATAGTCTACCACAAATCTACTCTTCATGTAGTGATAATCTTAGTAATATCATAATTAATGAACAAGAGGTAGTTGACATTATTTCAATAATTCCTGTTAATAAAGCCACAGGTCCGACTGCATCAGTCACAAAATGCTTAAAAATACTGTTTCTCTGTTTCCAAACCATTGACTATGTTATTTAATAAATCACTGTCAGAGAATGTTTTCCCGTCCATGTGGAAAGTAGCTCATGTATTACCTCTCTTTAAAAAGGATGATCCGTCTTTAGTGTCTAACTATAGGCCTGTGTCGTTGTTAAGCTGCGTTAGCAAAATTATGGAGAGAATTATTTTCAAACACGTGTATAATTATTTTCATTATAATAATTTATTTTATCGATATCAGGCGGGTTTTTTACCTGGTCACTCTACAGTGTACCAACTTCTAGAAACTTCTCATAGCATTGTGCAAAGTATAGACGAAGGCAAATCGTGTTGTATGGTTTTTGCGATCTATCTAAAGCATTCGACAGAGTATGGCACAAGGGTCTTCTCTTCAAATTACAAACGTACGGAATATCTGGTGATCTTTTACTGTGGTTTACAAGTTATTTGAGAAATAGATCACAAAAAGTTATGTATAAAGATCTGCTATCATCCAACCTCAATATATATGCAGGTGTGCCTCAAGGGTCAGTTTCTAGGTCCTCTTTTATTTTTGATATATATTAATGATGTTGCTGAAAATATGCTTACAATGTGTAGATTATTTGCTGATGACAATTCACTGCAACATGCATCATATAATGTACTAGATATAGATACAGGTTAAACCACGATCTTGATGTTTTAGACAAATGGTCGAGTACATGGCTTTTAAGATTCAATCCAGCAAAAACAAAGGTTGTATTTTTTTCTTTAAAACATAGACCTGTTTTACCTAACTTGTATTTTCAAGGTAATGCACTGGAGTTTGTATCGGCGCATCGCCATTTGGGTATATTGTTGTCACAAAATCTCAACTGGTCTGAAGATACAGACTTATTGTTAATAATGCTTATAAGAAATTGGGGTTATTGAAGAAGTTGAAATTTTCAATCGGTAGGAAAAATCTTTCTCTTTTGTATACAACATTTGTAAGACCTACACTTGAATATGCTTCAATTGTCTGGGATGGTTGCTCTTTATCTGATGTAGAAAAACTTGAAAAAGTACAATTAATGGCTGCTAGAATAGTTACTGGTCTTCCTATATTAGCTTCAAGAGAATCACTCTATTTTGAAACAGGATGGGTACCTTTGAAAAACCGTCGTTACCAATCTAAAATGATTACAATGTTCAAAATTAATAATTGTAATGTACCGGAATATATACAAGACATAGTCCCAAAGAAACGAGAACACACATCAAGATACAATACACGAAATAAGGATCAATTAACTATCCCAAGGGGCAGGTTAGAAATATTTAACAAATCTTTTGCACCTGATGCAGTTAAAAAATGGAATTTACTGAATAAAGATACAAGGGAAGCCATCTCAGTCAATTCTTTTCGTAAGAATATAAGTGATAATAATCCTAAAGCACCATCATATTTTTTGTTTGGTAAACGTATTACCAACATTATTCATACTAAATTAAGGCATAACTGTGTTTTGAACCAAGACTTATTCAAACGTAATATTATTGATAATCCCTACTGCTCTTGTGGTAAACACGAAGATGCCTATCATTTTTTCTTTGTTTGTAAAAAATACTGTAATGCTCGAAGTAATCTTTTTGACTATCTTTTTCGACTTGATTTAAACATCATAGATGTACACCTACTGCTATGGGGCAATGAAAATCTCTCAATCGAAGTAAACAGTGACATTTTTGCCGCTGTTCATAAATTTATAAATGAATCCTGTAGATTTAGCTAGATATATTATTGAATCTTATTTGTACACGTTTTTGTTTCTATTTTGCATGACAATTATTATGTGTTTTTTAAGGAGAAGAACTAGTAAGTTGTTAGAACTTGTTTCTTATCCTTTTGCTTGACAATAAAATATGTTCAAAACATAGATAATTGTAAACAGCAGCAAGTAAATTGTAAAGTAAAGTGATTCTTGGCTAAAGATCAGGGTATAAGTATTTCATTTTATTTTGTTATCAATTTGACTATTTTATTCACAGGGTATTCATGTACCATTAATTGAATAAATCCTATCAACTTTCCAAAACGGACTCATTCATCTTTACCGGACTACCGGTTACACTAAATTGATAATTCTACATCTTAGGTAAACATGCAGTGCTCTGGGACTGTGTAAACTTCTTCTTTTTGCTTCAATGAACACATGTATACAGGGGCATACTGTGGCACATACTGGGGTTTACCGTAGTTTCTGTAGTAAACAGTTGTCATACAGTGGCATACTGTAGGCGTATCGGGGCCTACTGTATGTAATTGTGGGGATGCATCAGTGACATGCAGAGATTTACTGTATATACAGAGCTGGCATACCGTAGCATACTGTAGATATACCGTAGATAACTGTGAAAATGCTGTAGGATACAGAGAATGATAGGGAATTTTTATACGGACAGGGTTTTTAAAAGCCAGTAGTGTAAAATCAGTAGAATTTCTGCTTCAGCTTTAGCTGTCTCCAAGCCTTATTCTGGAAATGAAAGCCTATAAATTTTCATTTAAAGGGAAATAACTCAGAAGCAGAATTGAATTTTTAAAATGTTAGACATCAATCTGATGGAATGTATTAACGTCTAAAAACACTGAAAATTTGAGCAAAATCCATTGAGAAATAAGTGAGATATGAGGCTTCAAAATTGGCGTCTAGGAAGTAGAAGAGAAAATAATAATAATCTTTACCAAAAGAAGCAGTAGAATGTCTTCCATTGGAAACGAAAGACCTTAATAACCGAAACTTACCAAACTGTTTCGGAGGCGTTCTGGGGCCTTGTATTTTAATATTCTCTTTGTTCGTGGATAACCGGGTATACAAAATTGAACTTGGACAAGCTTATCAAGGCATTTACTTTGTGTGGCTAGTAAATCATCAAGTGAGATAAATGTAGGAATCCCCTATGTAGGCAATCCTTTTGCTTGAATACATGTATGTGCATTGGAGATAACTCTTACCTGTATCTTTCGTTTCCATTCATCCTCAAAAAATTCCCACTGTGGGATGTGGAGATCAACCGGTTCTTCATATGAGACCGTATAAACTTGAAGGTCCGTATCACAGAAGGTGTTTACACAAGATGATCACTCACTACTCAATGACCTCGAGTGCGACGTACAGGACAAAACTTGCAGCTCTCCGCCGGCAAGTGGTGGCATATTCATATGAGTGAAAAATTAGGGACGTAAGCAACATACAATCAATCATCAAAAACATTTATATCTTGAATAATTTTTAACACCAAAAGATGATTTGCACAAAGTGAATTCCATAGCTCAAACAAAATTTTAAAGTTTATTTTTATATATTTCAGACTATTTAAGTTTATAGTACATTATGTTTTTCTTTTTGTGGATAATTTGGCTATTTAAGCAATATATTGGGTTAAATAAAGTCTTGTTATTTGACACAAAAACCCTCATGGATATATTTACATTTTAGAAAACTTTATTAATTTGTTGCTCAGTAAGATTACAATAGAATAATACACTTTTTCAGTATATGAATTATTATTATATTTTGATATCAGCTAAACATTTGTAGTCATCATTTAATTAAGCTTAAACAAGATATAGTATAAAAACAAACTGTGAATGTTCAACTGTGAATTATCATATTAAAATGCTTAACTACAGTACATAAGAAGAATTCACTTCAGATATTTGATTTTGTACTTGTCTATTTCCCCACTGAGTAACAAACAGATTGTCATTTGTATCTATACACAGTCCCCAGGGATCACTCAGTCCACAGTCTATGTAACGGAGGAACTGTCCATCCTGGTCTATGATGTTTATGCAGTCATTTTAGGATCAGCTGTAAGGATGTGACACTGACTGTCTGTGGTGATTCCTAGTGGATAGAATGGTTTGTTCTTTGGAGCAGGAGTGTGTCCAGTGTACCCGAATCTCAGTTTCCCAGCCTGATTGACCACCACTACTGATTTAGCTCTACTGTCAGATACACAGATATTCAGGTTCCTGTTCTCAATAATATATTTAGTGCTTTGAGCAGATGAATACAATGGTTTACCTTTACTATCAAACTGAATGGTTTGTTTCTCTGTGGAACCAGAGTAACGGACAACTTTTGTTTGTAACAGTTTGTTATCATCACTGATCATGATAACCAGGAGGTCACCAGAGGAGGTACTACAGACACCATCAGGTCCCCAGTTCTGTAGTTTGATCACCTCCTCTATCTTCTCATTCTTCGCAATGTTCACAGTTTCATCACTGATATCACTATAAACTAGATTTCCACTTTTTGTCACTGCTATGTCCTCTGGCCAGTCCCCTGACTTGGTTGTGATTGACTTGAGTAGTGATCCCTGATCGATGCTGAAGAGTTTCATGGTGTTGTCATCTCCACTTGTCCAGATTCCTTCATCACTCAGACAGGCCACACTGTAAAGTTCACTATACCCAGTGTCTATGGTGGTGACAGTTTCTGGTTCATTAAGCAGCTGTTTGACTGGAGAAGGGGATCCAGCTTCTGATGATTTTTGTGTTGTCTTCATGCTGTAGCCATGTTTATCTGAAGTTAGAGAACTTGATAATAAAGTTCCAAACAGATTACTGAGTTCTTTTCGTTGAATTTTCCCAGGCAAGAATTTAAGATTTGAAGGCACAACCTTTTGTGGAAGCTTTTTATATCTGTCTAAATTGGATTTAACAGCGAATAGTTTTGACATGTCATGTGTGTCTAAAGCCATTTCAGCTGAATCGATTTCATCCTTGATTTCAGACAAGTTCTTGTTTATTTCATCCGGATGTTTCTGTAGAGATTATAACTGTGTGTTTTTCATCTCATCAACTTCAGCTTTAAGTTTCTTGATAAGTTTGTCAATTTCTCTGTGCCAGTCATCTCCATGTTTTGTTATAGCTGTTGAGGAGAGATCTCCATGCTCCTTTTCTAACTGGCTAATTCTGTTTTGTACATCAGAGGCAATGTTCTGGTAAGTTGGATAAATTGTTTCCTTAAATTCAATTTGATCTTTGATGATTTTGCTTTTTTTCTCGCCCACAACCTGTAAGATTTCTGATAACTTATGACCAAGGTGTTGATCAGATGCTAGACACTTTGTACAAACAGGAATGTCACATAGGTTACAGTACATTGTACATTGCTGTTTGCTATGAGATTCACATCCAGGGTAGAGAGGGGTAGATTTCCAGAATTGAAATTTGACGAATTTATGGTCTTTGGATTTATCATATTTCGTGTGTTTTCCCACACAGGCCTTACACAGGTTGACAAGACATGTATCGCAGTGCATCTGTGCCACAGCAGTCTCACACAGGTCACATCGTATCAAGTCCAGGGCATTGGTGGGATCATCATTCGATGCAGTATGTCTTAAATGTAAATAAATTCAACATTTATTCTGAAATAGTACATGTAATTACAATTAAAATATGAGTACAACAAAAAAAGATGTGTTTGTGAAACACAGTGGCTCCCAAATGGCCACATTGTTAAGATTTAATTTTTTTTAAACGCAACTATTCAAACGCAAATCACATATGTTGATACCCAAAGTAAGGCCTTCCCACAAGAAACACAACTGTAAATATGAATTGTAAAATATAAAAGCGCTTGCAAAAAACTTGTTCAAAAATTATGGCCAAGGTTATTGTCTTTTAAACGTAGGTCAAACTCCTAGGTCAAGGTCAAGGGGTGAAAGTTTGCGGTATCCTTCTCACAAGGATTGCATATGTAAAGAATTAAAGCCCTTAACCTTACCGTTAAAAAGTCATAACCAATGTTTAAGTTTTAAAGTATGGGTGTTATTGGAATCCAATAAAAGGTTTTCTCAAACTGATTAAAACATTACTTTGACATCATGTCTTTGTTTGCAGTTTAAAATGTACCTGTGTTTCAATAAAAGTTGCTTGAATTGTAAGTTTGTTATGTAATTATATCGGACTTCCCAGCATGCACACAACGTTGTTTAAACGTTGAATATCAGTTGAAGTTGGGTTAAGACGTTGATAAATATAGATACAATATTGATTCAACGTTGACTTTTCAACGTTGAAAATTTAATGTTGAAACAACATTGAATTCAAATTGAGTTGAATTGCCAACATTGATTCAACGTCGGATCTACGTTGAGAGGGCCAATCCTATTTTTCGCTGATAGATAAATTTGGACTTTGATAGTTTCGGCCTATAACATTGTCGGACCATAACGAGGACTTGACAGTCGCACTACCGTATATCACTACTAACTATTATAACTAACAAGGATGGAAAATATAAAAATTTCAAACATTCAATGATCAATATGAATTCAGTACAAATTTGCCAAAGTACAAATTAAGAGGATACGCAGTAGGACATCCGGAAAATATTCAAAGAAAGCATAACACAACCTTCGGACTCAACACCAATATTTAATTTAAAAAAAAATCTTTAAAGAAAACATTTCGGCATGTCAGAGTACTAGTATCATTTGTCGAAATGCATATTTGGTGCATCAAAAGTTGTACCGTATAAGATTTGCATCTGACCTTGGAATGGTTTCATGTTCTGGACTATTTCATGACCACATGTAAAAATACAAAACGTTTGTAAATGCTCGGGTTTTGTAACATGATTAATTTATACAATGTATTTTGGTGAAAAATATTTAACACAATTAACTATTGATAGGAAATTAAACACTTACTGTTTACAATATATAAATTTTTTCATATATTGATATACCGTATGCTTTCATTTCAGTTGTCCCGACCCTCTGCTATAAATTTCATCTTAGAAAGTTATAATTTTCTAATATTAATTTTCATGAACAACAAGAACATTAGAGCCACACGGAAAATAGTTTGAAGTATGAAGTGCTGCTTATTTCTTCAGAAGTTATTTTTATGTGCAGATAATGAAATGAAGATATCGACACAGAGAGTAGAAAGAGTAACGATTTTATTACCACAACATTAAATATAATATATGAGGTGCATATGAAAATAATACTTACTATTATACCTATTTAAATCATGTTAGAAAACATCATAAAGCGATGTTTCTTAAGTCAGAAAATCACAATGTTATATGTGGTTGTAAGAAAAAAATATATATCTGTGATGAGGAGTTATCTTTCTTCTAAATATTACTTCATGTAAAAAAAATATTCTAATTAAAATACTGTATTATGTACTTGAAATATTAAACCATTTTTAAAATAGTACTTAAGAAGATACAACTTATTCAATTTGTAAGGTATTTGATGTTGATTTAAATGTTTTATTGTTAAATATAATAAAGCAATTACAAAAGAAATAGAAAGTAATGTTTTCTGCATATGTTTGATCTCATCAAAATGACTACTAACTTTGAAAGTTATGTGTCTTATCAGAGAGTCGCTATCCCTTCAATAATTATGAAGGCATCTTAGTAACCGTGCAATAAAACGGTTGAAATGTTAAGCAAGTATATTATTACTAGTGCTGGCAAATCGGACGATTTTTTGTAACCGGTTACTCGCTTTATCTTCCGATCGAGTACCCGGTTACTCGGATGATTTTTGGTAAAAGTATCAATATCTATAATTTATCTTATTCTATACTTATCTGTAGTAGTGATGCACAAATATAATGAATAGGGACATTATATTCATAATACAAATATACGATATTGTCAAAGATTTACGATTTT